GCGGCGGGGAGAGTGCGCGTGCGGGCCGGCCGGAGGGCGGGGTGGGGGGGCGCTGGGGTGCTCAACTCGCCGTGTCGTTCGCCGGTGTGTTGCTGCTGTTGCCGGTGGGTGTGTATTTCGGAACAGCTGAGCTCCGACCCGCCCACGCTCGAAGTGAATGGGGGCTCGCAGGAGGAGGGGGCCTGAAGCCCGACCTGCGGGCTGCAGTGGACTCGAGATTGCGGGGATCGTGTTCTTAGCAGGCCCTCCAGGGCACCGAGAGAGAGGAAGCTTGACAAATTTTTCCCCAGGGTGGTGATCTCCAAAGGAGAAAATGAAAAGCTAGCCGCCACCGCCCCTGCTCCCAAAACAAAAGCTACCCCTCGTCTTTCCCCTCTGATCCCAGGACCCTGAGACTGAGCGGCGTCCCCTTCCTTCAGACCCTAGTCCATTCGCTGAGGGGAAAGAGCTGAATGGACAGCTCCATCCACTAGCAAGAGCCTGCTTCTAGCCGGGGGCACAGGGGAGGGCCCAGCCGGGCAACTCTTCCCCACCAAGGTGGAGGGGCCCTTAAAGTCGGTGGCAAGAGCAGACTCCCCTCCGCGTGGCGGGGGACCCAGACCAGAGAGACCCTCAGGGACTCTCGAGGACTCTGAATCCTCGTTCCTGCTGGCCCCTTGATGGCCAATAGGTGGCGCGCACTCCCAGGTCCCACCTGCTAAGCATGGTTAGTTTACAGGCCATGAAGTGGCTAAACTGAAGGTAGGTAGAAAAAGAGCAGGGAAACTAAAGAATCTCGGACCACCATCTTGGAGTTCTAGGGCATTGTCCTCTTTGGCTTAAAGTCTGGAGTGCAGGCACTAATGCCACCTATTCCAAGGTACAGGCCATGAAGCCCACATGGGGCATCTCTGTGTGTGCCTAGAAGTGTGCACAGGTAGGTGGGAGCAGCAGGAGAAAATACTGGCTTAGCCTGGAGGATATCTCACTGGGATTGGGGTACAGAGTGGGAAGATCTGCCTAGCCTCCACTGTGTCCTGGGAGGAACTAACCAAACCTTATTTGGGAGGAAAGGGGAAATAATAATAATAAAAAGTTTTAGAATTGGGGGAGTGCATTTAGACTTGCACTTCTCCAGGCTTGGTAGATTGTTTCCATAGATGGCCCCAAACTCTCTCCAATCCTGCCTACCCTTTGGCAGTGTGACTTGGACACCTCCCATCCAGAAGTGGAGGTGAATCTGAGTTGACCCAGTGTCTTCCTTTGACTTGCTTTGGTTATAATAGAATGCTGTAGAAGTAATGCTATGCAGTTTCCAAGCTTAAGCCTTAAGAGGCCTTTTAGATTTCATTTTTGCCCTCTTGGGAGCCAGCTACTATGTAAAGAAGTCTAGACTGTCCCCCTGGAAAGGCCACATGGTGAGGCAGAGAGACCCCGGAGGGTAAGAAGCCAGTGGAGAACAGTGGTTTCCCAGGCGACTGTCAGCATCAATTACCAGACATATAAATGAGGCCATCTTACTGTCCCAGCCCCAGCCCAGTTCCCAGTGGGATGCAACTGGGTAAGTGATCCCAGCCAACAGCACATGAAGCACTAAAACCACCCAGCTGAGCCCAGCTAATCCCACAGAATCATGAAAAATGATGCATTTTTGTTGTTTTAAACATTAAGTTTTGGGGTGGCTTGTTACACAGCAATAAATAATGAAACTGTAGGAGGGTTCAGTTATTCTCAGGTGCCTCATTGAGGAGGCAGAGGAAGAGGTCACCCAGTGAGAATGTATATAGAGTCATTATTTGGATGGGTGTGAGCATCTGACACAAAGGTGAACCATCTCCATGCTGTCCAGTGACCTTTGACCTGTGTAGCCTGGTTTGAAAAGATGATGAGCCGATCAGATTCCTCTTTCTCGGGAATTTCGAATTGGGAAACCAGGACTGGGAAGTCAACCATGGGAACAGGCACTAAGGAGGCTGTGAAATACAGTTGGCTTCCAAGAGACCTGGATGAGCTGTAGCAACCTGCAGGTATATGCAACATAAAGCTAAGAGGGGGTAGAAACTCTGTGAGCCGAACGAGCCCATCAACAGACAAAGATGGGAAAGATGTGCAGAGGGCAGCAGAGACCTCAAGAGAGAAAAACTGTGCTGCCATGAGAGGGAGCTGCTGTTGGTCCTGACAGTTTCCCAAGTCCTAGATAAAGTCTGGCTACAGTGCCCATCTCTAAATTTCCGTGAGAGTCTCCACATCGCTTCAACAAATGACTCTCATAAAGTTGGTGGCTATTGGATTTGCTTGACTGGCAACCTTTCCCACCCTCTTCTTCTAGTAACAAGCCCTGCCTCCCTGCCTCTCTGGTGTCTAGATCTGCCCCGTTGTAGAACCCTATTTCCCTGGACCCAGTGATTGAGCCAGGGATGGGCATGTGGCCTCAACTGGGCCTCTTTCCCACACTCTTATATAGGGGTGCTGGGAGATTTGGCTCTTTCTCCTTTGGGGTTATTAATTTGGGACAATGTGAGCTGAGAACCCATCTTTCCCTGTGGCAGGTGAAAGAGTGTGGGAGAAGCCCATCTGCAGAGGGCTAGACAGCCTAGACAGCCCTGTTGGCTAGTCTTCAGCAAGTCCAGGGGTGGAAGCCACCTCCTACATGAAGCCTCCCTTCATCCTTTGCTTGCCTCCTTCATGGCCTCCCAGGAGAGACCCTCCGTCCTCTGAAACCGAGAGCTCTGGGTTTGTTACCTCCTTATTCATACTCTGATTTGGATTCACTCCCATGAATGAGAAAGCACAATAAGCTGTGGCCATGAAGTTAGGAGACGAGTTCAAGTTCCTGCCTTATCATTCTCTTTTTAGAAAACAAAAACAAAAACAAAAACCAGAGACTTAAATGTGTGTTCGGCTCAGCTGACTGAGAATCACCTGGGAAGCTGTTTGATAACTGTGATGGACTGTGTACACACATGGGGCCAACTGTTTGAGGTCTAGGAAGGCTTCAGAGAGAAGGAGATCACTGAGACAGGGGACTGGCTGGCCCAGGGAGAGGCAATGGTTTGTGCACAAGCACAGAAGCCTAAGAGATCCTTCAGGGAAATGGAGGGCAATTCAGGGTGACTCAAGTGCAAGACAGAGCAGACTTCTGCAGTCAGCAGGTGCCAGATCATGCAGGGCCATGAGGGACTTTAAAGGGGCTTATTGCGCTGAGGAAGAGGGGAGTCTTGGCAGAGTTGACATGGTCAGATTTGTGCTTTAGGAAGATCACTCTGGTTCCTCAGGGGCAGATGGCACAGAGGACAAGCCTGAAAGAAGGAGGTTGACTGACCTGGAGCCTCAAGATAGGCAGGAACACGGCTCCCCCTCCCCTGAGTGTGGCTTCAGCTGGAAATAGCAGCCCCCAGTTCTCTGGGTTCTGAGTCACCTCGTTAGGTTCATGGTTGCCCTGAGGCCAGGTCAGCCTCCTTCCTGTGTCCTAATTGCTTCCTGCCAAGGGGGCTGGCCCCCTCCAAGCGTCCTTGAGAAAACCTTTGTAAAAGTAATTGAGCGTTTCAGGAGGAAACAGGCATCTCCAGCTGCTGCTGCCCTCAACTCTCTGCAGGAAGCAGTGCCTCTCTGGCTAGTGGGGACAGGGGGTGTTCTGAGAAAAATACTTCGTCACCAACTCTCATCCCCACCCTCACCACGTTTGGTCAGTGGAGAGGGGTCTCGGGGCTCTGGACTCCTGTGGATGATGGGACAGGTTCTGCACTGCACGGCGGTCCTGACCAACAGGGCAGGTAGGAGCTGAAATCCAGGCTGTGCGCCCCTTGCCAAGCAGTGCACTGTATCACGACAATGCTGTATTTGTTCAGAAGGGGTATATTTTTCTCAGTAGCCCAAAGATGCCACCTACTGGCCCAACTCCACACTTACGGGGCTGCTTCCACTCAGAGGGGCACTTTTTCCTAATTTGTGCAAAGGGTACCAAATGGACTGACTGTGATCCTGGCTCTTGGCCTTTCTCCCTGCTGCCCACTGTCCACACACTTGTGCTCTGATGATGCCTTCCACTGGTCAGAGGGAGAAACTGAGTCCAAAGTCTGCTGCCACTAGCTCCCATCAGTGGGGAACTGCTCTGCCCACAGGCCGCACAGACCAGCATCTGGTCTGGCCACTGATGAATGGACCACCAAAAGCTAGGCTGAACCAAACAGATTCTTTTGTTTGAGAACTGGATTAAGAGATGCAGAGGGAGTTGGCAGTTGCTGGTGAGTCTGGATACAGCGTTGGGAATGCGGCTGCTTTGTTCAGGGAAACCAAGGGTGTCTGAAGAGAAACAAAGGAAGAGAGCACAGATGCGAATTTTGCCAAAGGGATGAGAGCCAGCGAGGCCCAGAGATGAAAGGGCAGAGGCCCTGTGGACGGTTCCTGTTCTCTTGAGGCCCAGCCGTTCTTGAATTTCCATCTTCAGGGTCCCTTGTAATCTGCTCACCCCTTTCTTTGAACTAGCTCGAGCAGTCTGTATTTCATGTAACCCCGAACAAGGACCTCAGCCCCAAGGAGGTGGCTGAAGTTCCCCCACTGTGTGAGCTCCCCCAGACTTCTTCTCCCCCTTTCCCCTTACCCACCCTGTCTCAGATGAGGGAAGAGAAGGAGCCCCCCAGCACGGTCACACCTTTTATTCACTGTCAGTGGAAAAAAACACACGACACAGCACGGGGTCGAACAGCGTGGACAGTCACTGCAGGCACAGCCAGGAGCGGAAGGGAACAAGCAGCTACTCAGGAGAATGAGTTGGGAGGTCCCCTC